CCCTCTCCAGATATCTTTTCATCCTGTTATGAGCCGGATCCCTGGAGCTGGACACCACAGATGATACTTCTGATTAAATTACATGAAAGTATCTGAAGTGACACTTTCCACATTCTGAAATTCAAGGATCACCATCCTATCCGTACCTACTTGACACAACTCTAGCGGAAAGGTCAGAAAAATGAGCATCCCTTACCACCGACTTCAGTTTCAAAATTTGGGTCTTTGCTAAAAACATTGTGAATACCGTCCTGAGCAGTGGTCACATTGTATGGTTAAAGCAGAAGTTTACTCTGACCCATGATAAAGTTAAACTTCTCACAAATTGAATGTTTCAGCACATGTCCTAACAATTTTTGTATTTGTGATGTGGCTCCTCCTGCCTGAAGTAGCAGAAGGATTCATTAACACAAGCTATTTTTCACTAGCTCCAGCTGCCCAAACACTTGAATGACAAAACACAGACATAGCTGGCAAAACAACAGTTAAAAATATAATTGTGTACTCATGGCTGTTTTCTTGAGCCCCTTCAAGCTCACCTGCTACAACCTTGCAGTGCTCATCAGGAATGTGCGACTTCACGGGATGGCTTGATTTTGTGGATCGTCTACGCCTGATGAAGTGTTCTTTTCCACTAAATGAGGTCTCTGATGTATTCACTGGTTGTATTAGCATGTGCTCTGATCCAACCTGGATATAGCCAACCTGTCCACAAAAGAGAACAAGAAACCCCATCAGACAGTTTGGTAGCCTAACCTCGTCTATCACCCAAAAGTGATTATGATTGTGTTCAGTCTGCGTAATACAGACTAAAGAACTTCAGCTGCTTCTTGTATGTATTTTTTATATCACTGAGCACTATTAAAAAACATCATCATGCAAGGCACTGTACGTGTACAAAAAAAAAAAGGTGGGGGTTCTTGTCAACACCTTTCCTTCCCTTCCCATTCTTTCTCTCCCTCCAGCTAGAGCAGCACTCTAGCTGGAAGCATAAAGATGTACGTCCTGTGAGATGCACAGCTCACATGAGGACAAACAAATCCTATTAACAAAAGTCCTTTCATAATCACCTTTCTAATTGCCAGCTAGAATTGCAATGTTGTTAAATGGCACTTACCATCTCAGTAGAGCAAAGAGGTGGGATTGCCTGCAAACAGGAGACCACCTACGTATGTCACACTTGCAGACAACACTAAGTAAACTGAAGCGATGTCATAAGTACGACTTGCAGAGCCACCCACTTTTTTTTTTTGTTTGGGGACCAAATACCTCTTCTTGACTACAATCGGGGCCACACAGCAAGGACTGCTCTCCCTGCAAGTCATGGGTTGGGTTTCAGAGGTCAAGCCAGGAATGGACTGTTGTACCTTCCCAGTTAGGAGATTTTCCACCATCCCTGGCATAAGTAACACAAGTTGGGCAAAGACTCTGTCTAAATAACAGTAGAGTACCTAGGCTACAGGTCAGAGAACTAAACCTCTGCCTTTCTTGCACCAAGTCCAGACCTTACATCAGGGCTGGCAAGAACATCTTTGGAAGGCAGCTTCTGCCCCAGGAGAGCCCTCCTCTGCTTGCAACCCGGAGTTTTTAAGGTTCTTCTATGCCTTTTCCACTCCTTTTCTGGCACGAAAAGATGAGAGTGGAAGCAAAGATATCACCTTAAAACTTAACAAAGCCTCCAGGTTTAGTAATCAACACTGAGGTTATATATTAACTTTCTCCAACGTGTTATAAGATGAGGGTTTCTTTCTTACTTTTCATTGTACTAATCCAGTGATCATTTGTCTTGCAATTAAAAGTCTGGAAATACAGCTCTTTGCCACACACCCCACCGAGAGAACTCTCTAGGTCTGATGCAACTTCTCCTGCTGGCAACAGCAGGCTTCATCTGGCCCGCCAGGAGGCACCAGCTTGTGCCTATGGTATACCTTATAGGTAAAGGAGCTTACAAGAGGCCCTGCTAAGCTGCATGCCTGTAACACCCATCCTATACATATTAAGAGAGACCAGACTTTTTTTTGCCCCCTCCCCGTGTCCTGTGCCAGCCAGGCAGCCATCCAAATAAATGCTCTGCACGTACATGCAAATACTATATATTCAACAGCTGACTGTACTAATATGATTTATAATATACATTACATACATACTGTATATTGTACATTTCCACACCTCCCTGCCAAATTCAGTCCTCACGTACACCCAGGAAATCCCTTTGGCCTTGTATTTCCAGCAAGAGGAATTTCTGCTAACAGAAATGAGAGCTCTCCTCTTTTGACAGCCGTACTAACTGAACAGCATTCAGGGGAAAACAGGATCTCTCAAAAAGGGTTACTGATTCCATAAGTGCACTTGGAAAAAAATTTTTAAAAAATAATAAAAATCAGCGTCTCTATTTGCCGTGGCTGCAAAGCATGGCAGTAACAATTAGTCCCCTACCCCAAAAGAGACAAGAGACACTTCTGAGGTCTTTCAAAAGAGAAAAGGGCAAGGTCACTGATTAAGTATAAAATGCCTTGACACCTTGCAGAAGGGCTCCCATTTACAAAGAAAAATCGACATTATTTCTTGGCCCTACAGAATGCATACTGGTTTACAAGGACCACTCTGCCCTGGAGTTTTCAAAGAGGCTGCCTCTTCATTTAAATTACAAGTTGGGCTTTGGCAGAATTGCTTCAGAGACAGCAAAAGCTCTAGTGACTTATTCTTCCAGCCTCCTTTACGATGCCCTCCACTACTTCCCCTCCTTGTTCCAATCTTCCAGCTGGGAGGTAGCCCCAGCCCCCTTTTTTAATATAGGTTTTAATTATTTAGAAGAAGAGTTGTAAATCTGGTGCCATGGTACTAAAAGCCACACCAGAGCTCCTGAAAGACTGCCAACCATTTTTGTTGGTGCCAAAAATATGCAAGAAGAAGTCAGTTTCATCACCACCCGACATTATCCCAACTTTCTGGCATCAAGTGTGAAAATAATTTAAACCATTGGAAAGGACTTATGTTTCACATTTGCTTAGGAATTGTGAAACCTATGGAGGGAGAGAGCCATGCGTCTTCATCCTGGAATAGGTTAAGAAGCAATCTTAAGTTTAATCTGACAAGCCAAGCAGAGTTTCAGGCAGGAAGGATTTGCAGGATCGGGCCTGTAAAGTACCCCTAGGGAGTTAAAATTTTCCCAAAACTTGTCAGTTGTGTTCTAAAGAGTCTTCAAACCTGTTGGTCCAGATGAGATCTTTTGGACCTGGTAACTTGAATACTCGGGTCATTATTTTGCTTTTTCCATAAGAAATGCATTCCTCATGTTGCCTCCCTCAAATCCTCCAGCTACCAGACACTATCCTGTGCTAATCTCAGCATGAGAGATCAGACATCAGCACCAGACAAAGACTCTGCGCTTTTCTTCTCTAGTCTGTGTGATGTTCGGGGACAGCAGAAAGCTGGATTTTGAAGAGAAAGAAGTAAAACAGAAGACCATGTAACTGTCAGAGCTATTTTTCCCACATCTCTGGAAATCATTCCAATTAAATAAAATGTTTTGGAACTGCCAATTCACGTTTGCCTGGGGAGATGCATATCAAAAGCTGGGATGCTCCCTCTCGTCCTTCTTTCACTGTGAGAGCCCATACGAACAGGACCTGCCACTGTGCCAGACCCCAGTACTGCTTAGTGTGCACGAAAGCAGCTGCTGCCCAGCCCCACCACCCAGAGCACCGGAGGCACAGGAGTCATCAGGAGCCCGAAAATTCAGAGGGGCATGGAAGTTCATCTGCATTATTAATCTAACCTGGATTTTAGAGTCAGTATGACAGGGCCATACAGCTGACAGAACCATGCAGCTCAGCTAACAAGAAAGGCTGGAAGGGTTTCAGCCTCCAAACAGCAGGCAACCAAACTGACAGGTTGATTAAAATAAACAATCCACACTTCCCACTACAGCCCCACTCACCACTGTGCTTACCAGTGGCTATATCTTTCATACTAAGGATATTTCATATCCTTAATTTAAATTATGTCAGCTCACTAGCCAAAAAGGCCCTGTTCTCCAAACCACCAAAATATTCTCTGTCATCTAGAGTTTTATACATACACTGGTCACTCAAGCAATCCACTCACTCTCTAATCTACTTTTGTACTACCACTAGTTGACTTTTCTACACGTTATCTTCCGTGTCACTGGAGCTTTTCTCAGGCTAAACGACAGCAGGGAAAGGAGGAAGGTCCTCGCACCATATCACCGAAATTACAACAGTAACAACGGAACTGTTAGTGCTGGCCCTCAAGTACCATTTGCAATCACATCGTCCTGCTTCGCTGTTCTGTCTCTTCCCCTGGTTGTACTGGTGGAGCCACAACAGCTCGGGACAGGAATCCAAACCTTCCGTGTCCTCTGCATGTGGTTCTGGACCTTCCCACACATAATACTCTCCAACAGTTACACTGGTTTTCCAGCCCTTTTTATTTTCACAACATCTTTGAACAAGATCTGCGAAATGCTGAATCTTTAACAGATTTTTCTTTTGCTCCTAAGTGTTCATTAGTTACACACATGCAAACACACTGAAAAGAGAACAGTTTTAAACATCTGACAAATTCCATCCCCTTCTCAATTTCTCAACTTTTAAATCTTAATTAAACCATTTTCTCAGTGTTAAAAGGAAGGTAATATTTAAAGCGAAGAACAAAAACCACCACAAATACAGTTTAATAAACTTCATGTGGCTTTTAGTCCTGTCCTCATTAACTGTGCTTCAGCTTTAAGTTAGTTACTATTTACAAGTGCAATTCAAGCAAATCTGAAACAAGAGCTTTAAATTAGGCCTTGCTCCAGTGTCACTTCAGGTTTACACTCAGTTGTGAGAGCAGATCACACCAGGAATACCTGACTGCACCTCTGTCACAGCCTGCCCCAGCCTCCGAGTCTGCTGAGCAAGGAAACCACAACGTGCTCTCCCTTTTGTCCACTGTGGAAGAGGGAAGAAAATCCCAGCACAAAGAAAACCAGCACGGTAATTTTAAGAGGTTTAGCTTTTCAGCTCATGGACCAGCTACGGATGAATG